TGGTTTTATCTTTGCACAGCATCAGCCCCAAAAAGAACGTCGGGGACTTAATCAGTCCTATAAGCGCTGTTTTCAGAGATCGAGAATGTGTATGACTTAGTGAACAGGAAGGCGTTCAGGAATAGGAAGAGCTCACCTGTCTCGAAGAAACTGTCAGCCTTGCCATATTACTCAGCTCCGCTGTGTGGGCCCAATCACCTACCTTCTGAGTTAGAGCTCTGCACGTACTGGAGAAAATTAGCGTTCCGACCCTGGCTTTGTTTATTTTCTGTATCTTTGAACGTATTTTGCAGGTATGGGACTAATCTGTCCTTCCAGTACCGTCTAGATAGCCACCTCCATGTTCCGAACGAAGCATCCACACACAACTGAATTTCCGTTGGCTTATTGCACGGGACACAGCAGGTGGTGGAAATACTATTCGTCGCTTCCCCGATGAATTACACCTTATGAAATCAACGTTCGGTTTTTCGCGAGAATAGTTCATCGCTTGCAATTATATGCACTACAAACTTCGTACGGTCTGGCTACTTACAGCTTTTCAGTAGTAACAAACCAGCGTGTGGTGTGTATTTCTGTAGCGTGTTGCTACCTGGCCAGTGGATCACTGGTGACGATTGGCAGCGAAATTCGGTTACGTTTCAAACCTCGAATTGTACTTTTTCAGCAGTCGCTCATGTGCAAAATTTTAGTTGGTCATCTGGGAGAGTTATATAGAATAACCAAGTGGTGCATCCATGGGTTTTGGCTGAGTAACTCGCCCCTAAAACTAAATTTTCTGGCCGATACCGTGTAATTAATTGCGCTGAAACCCCATTCATGATTCTTATTCGCAAAGTTCGATTAATTGAGCGACCTCATGGAGCGCAACTAAAAGTGATTTGTTGGCTTCACCACGCACTGTGTGCGTCATCTGAGAGGTCACATTCATTTATTTGGTTACCACTCTCCGTCAAGTAATTTTAGTTCACATGAAACCCCGTCCAACTTACATCCATTTCTCACTGCTGTCCACATTCTGCCTGATTTAGTAAGCTGATGCAGGCAAAGTCAGCAATCATCGAACCTTAGTTCGTGCTTTAGGTCTTACTACACGGGAGTATGTTCACCTGACTCTTTGTGTCACTACTCTTGGTGGCTGTCTATTTTGGTTACGTTATTCGCAACGTTCCTCAGTTCAGTTGAACCTGTAGAAGTTGATTACAAGTTGACTTACAAATTACGACACTGATCTGACGTGAGATCCACGTCAATTTTCCTGGTTAAAACACCCTACTTACTCAAACTTTTTCTTATTAGGACGTTCAAACTTTTTCAAAATGGCCTCAATGAAAATTTGGGTACAGATCCAAAATGAAGAGTTGAGGGAGGCAGAACTTAGCATATGTTCCGACACACACTTGAAGGCAACTTGTGTGGCCTCTGTGATTCTCGACAGATTACGACATTCACATGTGTAATTGAGGATGGGTGCCAGATAAGAACTATCACCACATCAAGCGGAAAACTTGATTTTGGTAAAGCCAAGCATACTTGACGCCTGCCGTTTGCTGTAACCGAAGTTTAGTGTACATCCTACACGCCTGGATTTGATTTGAGACAAGAGCATTTTGGTTGATGCTTCTAGCTACGCCGAACTTGCTGTCCACCTCCTGCCCTCTCATACTTCTTACACTACTTAAATGCTACAAGTAGTTGTAACACTAAACGTTATCACGATCCTCGAACGTTGAAGAACGCCTATGCGACTGCGGCGAATAAATGAGTATCGGACGAATTTCGGAGAGCATTTATGGAGTAAGCAAAACTATCTGCTGATAGTTCGAAATGCTTTTGTGAGTAGGGGCTTTCATATATGAAAGGCAACATCGAGGTATTCTGGTTTTGACTGTGGGACACGCGAGAAATCAGAAGTTCACTTTTAGATCATAAAATCCGTCCACCCTAACAGTACCTGGGTTATAAGCTGCGCAGCAAACAGAATGATGTTGCACCACTAGTGTGCCTGTTGCTGCTGGTTATTTCTTTAAAATAATACGGATACTAATGAAAGTTACAGCAAAAATGCGGTGGCCTTGGAAACTAATGAAAGAACTGGTGTTTTCGTTCCGGTCGACCAATGAATAGGAGCATATTTGTAGGTGTAATACACCAACGATAGATTGTTAAAAGCTCACCCACAGCCCACGACCGGTTTCATTCATCCTAAGGCTCATCAGGTAGGCGCCTTCCCAGAGTTTCCGTCAAACTTATATTCTACTTGGACCCAAATTACACGAAATGCACTCGTTTGCTAACCAGTTTGGTTTTGATGTGATGCTCGGCCTAAACTCAGCTGTATCTCTCGTTTAAGTTGTTTTTAAGCTTGAGCACGCCATTGGTGAAAGATTCAGCTTGGTTTAAGGTGGATATTCCGTCAAATTGGTATACAAACAAGTGTATTTCGTCAATTCCGTGTAATTCGGATTCAATTAGAACCTAAGTTAAGAGTGAACTCGGGGACTGCCCCCACCTGATGAGCCCTAAGAAAGGCGAAGCAGTTCGTGGGTTGTCGACCTGATGAGTGGTGTATTTTATCTAAGAACACAACGGCTTTATTACAAACAAGACAATGCTAATTTGTAGGGAGGTTCGAGTTATTCAAAATGTACTTTTGACACTGAATCAAGACCAAAGGGTTAACCCTGAGCGGTTGACTGGCCTCTTTTCCAGGTCGTGCTTGAGCACTGGATCATTGTCAATCGTCACTGATTTAATGATTGATCTATCAGTTCATGGACAGTTTTTACGGATGGCATACTTGACGCTCTAAACGAAGCAAGTTTGGAATAACTGACGGTCTCCAGTAATTTTCGGACGTTCTTGGGTAATTTTCAGGAATCTAACGTTCCTGACAATGTATACGTTGGCTTGATAGGGAGCTTTGAAGGCGTTACCGTTATGTTTCACCTTTAATCTCTAGATTACCCATGCTTCTAGTGACATCACCTGTTTTGTCGTGTATGGAGGGAGGGCGTACACCTTCTTCTCACTAATATGAATATCCACATGAACTACGTAACAATTGAGAGCTCGTTACATCTTTTTTAAGGATCAACTCATTATTTTTCATCTTCGAGTATCCCCAGATTTCCGAAAAAAGCATCATGTCTGCTACATCCTACCGTTCCAATCGGAAAACCGCAATGGCACGCGGCAAAGCGCGAAAAGCAAAGACGTCGTGCGTTGTTATGATTGACAGAAGCAAAAAATCCAATTTAAGGTGCACGGCAGAGAGCATAACAGCCTTTCGGTGTGGCGGTTCGTGAAAGCATGTATCTCAACATGATTCTCAGCATGTATGGTCTCAAATCACTTCACCGAAATACCGCCGGGCTTTATGGCCGTTGAGTGACCGATGTACATTTTTTGCAAATAGTATGGGCTCCTCCCTCACTTTTCCGCAGCCACCGTTTTCGCACTCAGTAACGAATCCCAGACAAAACACGTGAACAATTTGGCCCACAAACTTTTGTCTAACTTGCCGCCAAACTGTAAAAGCAAGTAGTCTGGAGGCGGTGACTGGTCACATCCAGGTTCAACCAGACAAATCACGTGACGCAGGCAAAGGAGCAAAAATGAAACAAGCAAACGTACTGGTTGTTTACCAGATATGACATGATTTATGTAACGGTACTATTTTCACGCTGATGTACCTGTGCCAACCCATAGAATTCTCATGTGCAGTCGACAATCTCATCCGCTTGGAACAAAATGACTGAAATAGATCCATAGCTTTAATTACAAATTAGCATGAATACTAGCGAAGTACAGTCATTTGCAAACTAAACTGGTTTTGCGAGAGACTCACATGGGATCCAGCTGAATCTCTTGTTTATGATGTTTCCAGGCAACTGAATGTGCTACGTTCCTGACAATGTATACGTTGGCTTGATAGGGAGCTTTGAAGGCGTTACCGTTATGTTTCACCTTTAATCTCTAGATTACCCATGCTTCTAGTGACATCACCTGTTTTGTCGTGTATGGAGGGAGGGCGTACACCTTCTTCTCACTAATATGAATATCCACATGAACTACGTAACAATTGAGAGCTCGTTACATCTTTTTTAAGGATCAACTCATTATTTTTCATCTTCGAGTATCCCCAGATTTCCGAAAAAAGCATCATGTCTGCTACATCCTACCGTTCCAATCGGAAAACCGCAATGGCACGCGGCAAAGCGCGAAAAGCAAAGACGTCGTGCGTTGTTATGATTGACAGAAGCAAAAAATCCAATTTAAGGTGCACGGCAGAGAGCATAACAGCCTTTCGGTGTGGCGGTTCGTGAAAGCATGTATCTCAACATGATTCTCAGCATGTATGGTCTCAAATCACTTCACCGAAATACCGCCGGGCTTTATGGCCGTTGAGTGACCGATGTACATTTTTTGCAAATAGTATGGGCTCCTCCCTCACTTTTCCGCAGCCACCGTTTTCGCACTCAGTAACGAATCCCAGACAAAACACGTGAAAAATTTGGCCCACAAACTTTTGTCTAACTTGCCGCCAAACTGTAAAAGCAAGTAGTCTGGAGGCGGTGACTGGTCACATCCAGGTTCAACCAGACAAATCACGTGACGCAGGCAAAGGAGCAAAAATGAAACAAGCAAACGTACTGGTTGTTTACCAGATATGACATGATTTATGTAACGGTACTATTTTCACGCTGATGTACCTGTGCCAACCCATAGAATTCTCATGTGCAGTCGACAATCTCATCCGCTTGGAACAAAATGACTGAAATAGATCCATAGCTTTAATTACAAATTAGCATGAATACTAGCGAAGTACAGTCATTTGCAAACTAAACTGGTTTTGCGAGAGACTCACATGGGATCCAGCTGAATCTCTTGTTTATGATGTTTCCAGGCAACTGAATGTGCTGCGCCAGACCGCCACATTTTTCAGTCGCTACGACATTCGAGATATTGCGATACATGTATATTTCATAATGCACTACTCATAAGGTTACTGAAAATTCGTCGGTAGCCCACAACTGGTTTCGCTCTTCCTGGGGCTCATCGGGTAGGCGCAGTTCTCGAGTTTCCGTCAACTTCGTGTTCTACTTGAGAACAAATAACATGAAATTAGTGAAATACCCTCATTTGCAATCTAATTTGATTTTGCGAGAGACTCACCTGGAACTCAGCTGAATCTCTCCTTTGTGATGTTGAGGTCGAAGGAATCTCGGGGACTGCGCCTACCTGATGAGCCCCTAGAAGAGCGAAACCAGTCGTGGGCTGTCAGCGAATTTCCAGCAGCCTTATGAGTAGTGCGTTACAGGTATATAGCGTGAATAATATCTCTAAATTCCAAAGCACTTCGCAGACTTTCTATCACACAGGGACATTCTGGATCCAATCTTCAATCTCTTTATACTAAAATTGTAACGTGTGAACATAATTTTGTTTCGAGAACGAAGATTGTGCCTATAACTCCCCAGTCATTTTTGCCTCCCATCGTTCATTGTTTGAAATATGACTAGAACTTGTATATCTTTGTAATGCGCTACTCATAAGGTTGCTGAAAATCCGTCGATCAGCAGCCTTATGAGTAGTACATTACAAAGGTATATATGTATCGCGATATCTCGAATATCTGGTGACTGAAACATGAGGCACCTTGGTGCAGCACATTCAGTTGCCTGAGAACATCACAAACGAGAGATTCAGCCGGGTTCCAGGTGAGTCTCGAAAAACCAAATTAGTTTGCAAATGAGTGTATATTCGACAATTACTAGAACTTCACTGTAAGACCATTTTGTTCTTGTCATAATTAGCACCTTTGCAGGTCTTATAAATCTGACGATGATTCAAACCTTTGGTTTCCTAGGTCGTGGACAATGACTCTCAACAGGGAGGGAACATACTTTTGGCGCTTCTCAGATTTTTAAATTGGACTAACTTCACTAGTGAGACGGAAGCATAGGTGGAACATCAAAATCCTCTACCCTAACATACAAGTAAATTCTTGCTATGAAAAGCATGGGATTGTGACTGTAAATAAGCTGGAGGAGTGCCCGAGAGCTTCGGAGATGGAAAAATAACGCAACTGGCTGGAAAACTGGCCTAGGCAAATATGGCCCATTGATAAACGTGGCTTAAAGAAAAGACAAAAAGAATCAATGGGACACAAAAGGTAAGGTCAAGCACGAACAGAATTTGTGTGGACAACAAGTTAAATCGATCTAAGCAGCCTCCACACAGACACCCCTGAAGGTCGCATTATTCTTCCGCTTGGGCACTAATTATTACAGGATCCACTCAACAAAGGACCATATGAACTGTGCGAGTGGGGAATGATGGTGCTACGTCTTTATTAGCTGTGTTAATCAAGCTGTTGATTAACCACTTAAGACCGAATGGCGTAATGCTTCATCACCATCGGTAATATTCTGATTGGAAAGTTTATTAATGGTTGCAAGATTGACATTACTAATGACCATCAACAGTGGTGGAAAATTTCCTATATTTTGGCATCACAGGGCAAAATATCGACCAAAATTCAGTGTTTCGACAAACGCACCTGTTTTCTTAAGGAAGACGAATCCCCTGAAGTGATCACGCTGCGGATATTTGGTCTGTCTGTCGTGATAAGTAGTCCGAGTTTGCTCTGGTTCTGGACGAGATGTCAAACTGTCAGGCTAGATGAATAGACATCAACTCGATGTGCTGGTGTTCTACACACTTGGTTAAGTAATGAACACATGCTTCACTTGCCGTAGATAGCTTCATTGGGTCAATGGCATTCATGCATTTTTTTTACCTCAGGCCTCCCTCTCACTCTGCTGCACCCGAAAAAAAGCGAGGCGAACCAAACAGTAGATAAATATGGTACCGGAACTTAGGCTGCTGGATGTGGAAGATGCGTTGAGTTTTTGCTTGGCTGGAGACTTCTTTCCTTTCAAACTCGTTATCGCTCTTTCATTTACTTTCTTTCGGACACTGGAGAATCTCAAGCTGTAGTGCTGAAAGTAACGTTTTCTATTTTTGCATTCACAAGCATCCGAGCTTTACTGATATAAAGGCTGTTGGTGAGAGATCTCATTTGTTCGCATTTCCGTCGACGTAAGTATTATTTTTACAGACATCAACCAGTTTTGATTCATATGAGTCACTTTATTGCTAGATCTGGGTGACATCTTCATATGTGTACATTTCTACCAGGGTAAGCAAGCTGTCCCCTTATTCGGGAAATCGATCTTCCTTACTTGGGTGAGCTGATCGTTTATTTGGTCCTCTGTCAGTTTCAAGACAGTTTCTGCTAATCCTTCAGTCTCAAGCTCAAAGGTTCAAAATTAGTGTAATCCACACTTTTTTGGATTGTACTATCAATACACGCACTCCTGAGCTCTATCCACAAAGAAGGAGCATTCTTGAAAGAGGCACTGATCTGTAAAAGCTATTCAACGAAGTTTAATTGCTGTTTACAATATACCGCAACATAAACAGTAACTACTTAACTAGGATCGCGCTGTCATCAACCGGGCAAATCCATCTTAGTACATGTGCGACTGATGGAACATAGGCACTGATAAGACAGGTAATAGCCTGTTCGAAAGTCTCTAAAGATTGACCTTGATGTTTAAATCAGGTGAATAATTGATAGATCAGCTCCAAGGTAGCACATTGAAACCTTCTTGGGCGATTTATAAACATGTTCACCGTTGAGCCTAGAGTCAGACTCAAGACACATCTCACAGATCCACTGAAAATATCGATCCATTTTCATCAGAATAGGTGAACCAATCTTGCTTAAACTTGCATAGGTGGGAACAGCGTGGTAATATCCCACAGGAATTGCATCTTAAGAAAATAAGATTTTTTAGATATCGATCACTTTTCCAACCTTTCTGGCCTTTGTGGATCTAAAATGACATAAAAATCGTTCTATCTGTTGTTGTGTAGCTCTAGTATGGTGACCGTTTAAAGGCAGTTGAGAGACAATGCACATGCTCCAGACTGATCTCCTTGTCCAACTAACAGAAACATTATTCTGGTAGCTCGTGGATTCCCCCTGGTCTATCAAGCGGCTTCTATGTTATGAAAGACTATTCTTTCACAACACTGTGATTCGTTTCCACTGGCTTTCATTTAAAATCCTCGTGCATCAGTGCGGAAAACCTCACCTTTGTGGGCCTCAGTCATTTTCTGGATTTGGCCTTACCTTAACAACACACATTTTCTTGTAGGTAGGCAATTTCAAGTTGCGTTGGTTCAAGATGGACTGAAATCAGTCGGTTCGATTTAACTGGTTACCCTATGAGAGCCATTCAGAATGATCGCCCCCTAGAGTGAGGTCTGTATTGGCAGACGCCTTGAGAGCTGAGTGGGCTTTGGATCAAGTATTCCAAGCGTTGGCAATTCATATTCGTTTTTTTCCTTTGGATCTGTCTGAAAAGCATTTCTGTCACAAGTGATGATAAAATATGTGCTACTACTACGGATCCAAATATTTGCTTCTCTCCGCGAAGCATCATTAATTTAATCAGTCAGTTGTACCGCAACATTCACCTTTCAACTTCTCTTTGGGCTATTGTCTGCTTGTCTTCCGATTTCTCCATTGTGTAGAAAGCGCCGACAACAATATAACACCTCCTTTCTCCTACTGTAATTAAGCTGCGTATCTGATAGATTGTAGAGTCAAGATTCCAAACTTACTGGAGGTAGCCTACACTATTTCGACTGCCAGAACCATCAGTCGTTCAGTTGTAGCACTCTTTCTAAGCCTAGATGCCGTGTCATCAGGAGGAAGCACGAGGGCTAGGATACGGTCAGATTACCCAAACATAGACAGGGGAATTCGAGAGGCAGACGTCGAGTTCGAACCACGGACCTTTCGGTCAGAACGATCAAATTGTATTTATTGTAGTGACGGGACCTCTTCGAAAACCGTTTTCAAAGCGAAGTTATCAGCTGGCACCGCAGAATACCTGTTTGGTACCATACCGCTTTTACTGACATTCCGGGACGAAACAATTACTCTGCTTGTTGGTGTGACAACCGCAGTTATTCAGAGCACTTCTTTTAAAAAGTAAACTTTATTGGGTCGCCGAGCAACCATTGCCGTAGTTTCAATATTTCCTCAGTAGTTCGAATCATCCTCAAGAAGATTTTGGCGCTGAGCTGGCCATCTGTGGCAGCGCGGTCAACTGTGGTAACTGGTTTAAGCAGACTTTCATCAAGTGACCAGGACAGTTGTCCCTTATCAGAATCAAAGTTATAAAATACAATAAAGTCTACCGCTGCAAGCTTCCCCACATGCCACCCTACGTAGAGAAAAACAGATAGAATATCTACACTAAAAGTTATCTTGGACAAGAAAATATATCACAGTGCTAGGACGGTGACACAACTGACAGACGTATAGAAAGATCAAATGATAATGAGGACGATTATCTGTCACAAACAGACCTGGATGGATTGACTGATCGACAGCCGATGGGGTCGGGATAGATAGCTGTCACATGATGCACATGGAAACAATAATGGAATGAGTTTGAGCTGTCCATATTGTTACTATGCACATCAAAGAGGTTAATGGTCAGGCAGATGGACAGTTAACTATTTTACTTCATGCAGATTTGTGCTGCTTTTAATCGATCTCATAGTGGGCTGTTGGACATTCATGTGTGTTGAACCAGTACTCTGTTTGTCCTTTGTTAGTGAGGACACGTCTTTGGGGATTATGGTACTTGATCGACGCATTGGGGAGCTTGCTCCCTTGAGGTTCTTTTGCAAGACAGCTGAAGTTGTGACTGAAGGAATGTGGGAGCGTAGTGGAGCCATGCATGGGAGCGTCGCAGTGGCTAGAGAAGAAAGTACAGAAGGCGTGCTCTTTTTCGTCACAAGTTCGTCTGAACAGAGACAGTCCAAATGAAGAGCACTGATAGCTGCTTTCATGCCACTGGTCAGTCGGAGATTGACATCTTCCAAGGCGACACTGCAACTTTGTCTTCGTTTCTTGGGGAAGGACAGGTGAAATGTAGAGAAAGGTGTGAAATGAATGTCAGTTCATTCAAAGTTCAGATGTTGAAATGATCTGTGTTGCTAGAACATTTCTAATATGGTTAGCCAAACTGACCCTGTCAGTCTCATCAACACTCACTAGCTGAGTCCTCTCTGGTCGTTTATACACTAAAGTTCCCAAGATCATTATCGTTTGAGCAACACGCAGCAAAAAATCAGCGGTTTATGATTTGAATACGTATATTAGCACCTCATGGGGAGAAAGTGACCGTTTGCAACGCATTTAGACTCTGTCATAGGGTAAATAGAGAGACCAGATGCTTTTGGAAAGACATCATGAACATAAAATATGGTCCTCAACTCACTGAACATTGATCTTATTGATTTTCAATAGAGAATTACGGGTAATGGTTAACAAGATCGCCTGCATGCTGTGCTTGATGACGCTGGCAGAATCCGACGATCGATAACTTAGACAGAACTGTGCAGGTGCACTTTTGAGTAGTAGCCCGGTCCATACAACATTTCAGCTACTGGAAGCAACTGACTGAGAGGTATCAGATTCGAGCCTAATTAAGTGACCTCTCGGTTCTTTTCTCCTAGGTGTATACGTCTACAATAGTTTAGTCAAATTTGCAGCAAAGTGTCATGATGCAACTGCAAAGAGGGTATATTGAGAGTCCCTTTCCGGAGTGGAGGATGAACTAAAAGATGTCTCTTCTGAAACCTGTTGTTTTATAAAAGAGCTTGGGCATCTAATCATACCTTCACGGTTCAGTCTAAAATAATGGTTTTGTGGAAGTGGTTTCTTCGATTGTACTCTCCGTAATCGTTGAGATCTTTAAATCTGTGATAAGTACCTGTGACGATAAATAAATGTACTCATACAGCCGAAAATCTCAAGGTTATACGTCCGTCAATTTCATTAAAAGTATCATGATTCGAATTTTATCGCCTTCATTTTCGGATAAAATGTTCGGGATGGCTATGGGTTGCATCCACGTAATGACCTCGGTGATCATATATGAAATATATATAGATATATAAATAAACAAATAAACAAATCATAAATATATCATCCCAATATATCTCAACTAACCTGAAATAATTAGATCAAAGTAAATTTCTGTTCCAAATTTCTTCTTCTAACAAACGTGCAGAAGGCATTCAAAGCAAGGAAACTCAGAAATATGAACCACAAGGCTATACGCTTAAGCTAATCTCTGTCTCAACTCTGGCTACCGCTTGTACATGATTCTGTACACTGAATACCCTTCACTACGTGGAAGTCGGTCTAAACTAATTCGAAATTTATTTATCACCTTTGGACTTTTCTAACTCTGTAACCCCAAGTCCACCTAAGCACCCAGATGTCGATGCACTGCTGTGCACTACTGTGTTTCTCAGAGGCGCCTAACATAGTACTGATAACGCATAACGTAAAACCAACTGTTTAGGAGAACATCCTATGGTAGAACTTCTCAAATGGGCCTAAATTCGTGACTCGACTTTTCTGTAGTATGAAAAATCTTTCAGCCAGCAGGTGAACGAATATGGTAATGCTAAGGTAGAAACAAAATGCCTGAACGAGTTAAGGACAAACAGTAAAAACCCCACTTAATCAAGTGATTAGTTAGGGATGACTGATCAAAAGTCCAAATCAACCTTACATGGCCATCGGCATATAGGTGCTGAATGGTTTGCACGATATCCTGACCTGATCCTGTGAACTAGCCTTGCTTCTGTCCATCTAAACAATGGTATCTTTAGAACTGAGTACAGCCCATGCAACTCGACCAGAATAATTTTATTGTTTATACTTCTGGAATAGAACTGAAAAATTGGGGTTCTATTTCTTTCAAAACCTGCCCAAAGCTGTTAAAGGGTAACTTACTTCGGTGGTAAAGGAGTGTCTTTTGACAGCTTGTCAGTTGTGAATTTTAGGGGTTTCGCGCTGAAACAACTCGATCACGAGGAGTCAGCTGAAAGTCCAGCTTTGTTTCAGTAACACGTATCATTATTGGAACATACAAACAAAAAATTATTCAGTTCCAGACTGCCGATGCATGCTCAGAATATAACGTGGACATTGTTACCGTGCTCTCCATGGCAACTAAAGAGTAAAGGTCTGCCAGGATCTTTTTATTCTGTCTGTGTTTCAGGCTTCACATTTAAATAAGCGTTACTATGAGGATCTCCAAAACGCATCAGATAAGCAGCGAATAGGCACGAGAGCCTTGAGACAAAGGTTTACTACTTTATCAAACATGGAACGGTTGTGGTTTTATTCATAAAGGAAACTACTCGCAAGGTTGCTGAAAACTCTTCGACAGCCCACGACCGGTTTCGCCCTTCTTGGGGCTCATCAGGTAAGCGCAGTCTCCGAGTTTCCGTCAACCTTATGTTCTACTTGAACCCTAATTGGACTGTTTTCGAGAAATACACTCATTTGCAAATCAACTTGGTTTTCACGAGAGACTCAACTGGATCTCTCGTTTATGATATTCTACAACTGAACGTGCTGCACACAGGTCGCCTCAGGCTTCAGTTGGCACGATATTCGAGATATCGCAGTAGATTTCCATAAAGGAAGCTACTTACAAGGTTGCTTCTTCATCTACTGGAATCGAGTCATCTAACAGGATCCTGCTGCCCCTCTTCGAAGTGTGTTTTCGTACTTTTTTATGCCGTTTCATAATTCCATCTTAAGGTATTCCACAACGGCGATGTCGAAAGCTAGTAGGGATGTGAACATCAATTTTCTGTTTCTTCAGACGTGGTCTAAATTCAGCCTACTCAAAGAATAGGTACTGCCCTCCTTAGGAGATAGGCACTCACGTGACCATCATGTTCGGTGTCAGTTGGTCACTATTTCAGTACTACTAATCTGCAGCACATTTTCTTGTGGTTGGTTGTTACTCATTGGCGCAAGAATGTTTTGTAACTTGAAAATTCTTGTGGTTTTCGGAGGATGCCGGTGGTGAACGGATATTGTGGCTCGGGCAGTTAAAACCGTTTCCGCTAGGTGCTGGATAACGCACATACTGGAATCGTATTTCCTACTCAGCAGTGCCGTGAACCAATTCTACCTCAAATTTGTTTCGTTACCGTTCTGTATATTTCCAAAAACTCTGTCGGTCACAGACTTACTATTGGTTTTAGTACTACGGCAAGCCACCACAGGAAGTGGAGAAATTCGGTTGCCTTCAATTTTAAAACAGAATTGCTAAGTGAGAAATTGGAAAATAAAATTTTAATCGAATAAACGGAACCAATCAGAAGTCAATCTAGGGTCACGCAGCCTTGTTCCGGTTACCGTTTGGTTCCCTATTTATAAAACTTCTAGTAATTTCCGCAAGCAAAATCGTCAAGATTTGTTGAGAATCTATCTACTGGCGAGTAATCAGGGTAGTCCTAAAGTTCCATGATCCAAGACTTAGTGATTGCTAACCGATGGATTTAGGGGTTCTAGCTGTAGTGTCTTTAAAAAAGTCGACGCACTCGTTAGAACAGGCTAAATTAGACTGAAGTAATATAAGCTGAGAGCGCAAATAAAGTTTGAACTGCTTCACTGTCAGGGTTATGAATGTGAACGTCATTAGACCAAATCCTGGTGAGTGCGAATCGGGGCAGATCTCTTCTGATTTATAGATGGACAGAATGTTTACATCCAATACGAATAGTCACATAAATTTTGCCTAAAAACTAAGAGGTCAACTATTTATGTCACAGGGAGCATCCTGGTCATCCTGCGATAAATAGCAAATCATAGAAAACCATTTTGAACTTCCTTACGCCGTCTTGCAGCCGGCAAAACACTGCAATTGTTCTGGGTCACATACCTCAAGCTTGTTGCGGATTGAAAAATCAGGCCCTCCTGAGTGCGAATCCAAACTTGATCGTGGTGGGTTTGTCGGTCCGACCGTCAACATTCGTATGCCCGTCATTTCATAATGTTTGTCGAAGATAGACTGAAGTTCCGCACCTAAACTTTTTGGGCTTTTCGGCCTCAAGTTCAAACTGATTGCACGTTTTAGGGTGTTGAATCCTAGAGGTGGCTCTAGTTCTTTTGGTGACAACCGTCTGTGGGTTCGATCTCTTGGGGTTTGGGGACCGAAGTCAAATGATGAGTTCTTGGGAAATGCCGAGGCCTGCGGCATAAAATCCTTTGTGGTCAGGCCAAGTGAACTTGTTCGGGAATACGATAACGCAGTTGATTGTGCATTCTCTGCTCCCAGGTTGTCTGAAAGAATTGTGGATTGTGTTTTTTGTACAGGGTGCACTCCATTCGACGTCATTCCATCAAAATAGCTGTTTCCATATCCATTAGACACTAGCTCATCATCTCTCATTGAAGCATAGGAATGGGAATTCGGAAACCGTTCTGAGTACATGTTTGGATCATCGCGATATTGAGCTACCAGCAAACTTCCACGTGCAGAGTGAATACTGCTCATTGAAGGGGGCTGTGTCAGAAAATAATTATTTGTGTTTGAGTGAAGAAGAAACCGAGGGTTCACATGAGATTTCATTTAGAAAATGTAAAGAATACACACTAAAAAGCTGCTCTAATAACTCATAAGGTTGCTGAACATTCATCGAAGCCCACGGCTGGTTTCGCCCTCTTTGGGGCTCATCAGGCAGGCGCAGTCCCAGAGTTTCCGATAATATTATGGTCCACTTGAAACCGCATTGCACAAAATTAGCGAAATACACTCATTTGCAAGCTAATTTGGTTTGGTTCAACTTAGTTGAGAGTTATTAGCAATTCGCATTTCACATACCCTTTGAGAAACTCCAACCTTAGATCTGATTAGTTGCTGTAGTCTTTGCGAATTACTACTTGGAAACGCATTTAGATAGACTATAGCTGCATCATCCTTCGGCATTATATTTGAACCCATTCATTCGGCACTGCATGTATTATCGAGTGATGAATTCTCAGGATACAAACCCGAAAAATGTATAGGTTCTACTTACTTTTTGGGCAAATAGCCTGTAATCTGTGGTTTGAGACTTTAAGGGATACCCAGTAGTGGCATAAAAACTTATATTTGTCTGGAGAATAAGACATATGGGAGGGGAAAAGTAATAGACGCGCTGACAAGTTTGAAGGAACCACTTTCGTGGCCTTCAAACAGACGTTCAAACAGCGCAGCCAAGTTTCAAACAGAGCAGTTTCGTGTTAGAGCTGAGCTTGCGTCACTGATAGATGGAGTAAACGGCTAGCAATCTAGTATCCAAAGATGGACATCAGAAAGCAGCAGCAAAGTCTGATGATACGGTGAGTAGGCACACAATAGCCTGGGGCGTACCGATTAGTCCAAGTTCGAGATGAACGCTTTAGTATGCAACCTACCGCGATTCTGCACTGCTCTAGCCGATCCAGGTTCATGACTAGATATGGCCTCAAGTGGCTCTGCTCGAAACTTTAACTCACTTTCTTATGGAGACCGTGAATTGGACCACGTACGTTCTATCTTTAGTAAATAGGATATGCAGTTGTAGGCTATATAGGTTGTGATCTAATCATGCCCTAAACAAACTTATGGAAGATCGAGTCATCCACACCGCATAATGCCACATTCGCACCCAAATTTCTCGGGAGCCGTCTAAGTTGGAATAGGACTAGGGGTCTTCACCACTTTGGCTAATTGACGAGGATAGCCTCTAGGATCACCAAATGCTGATTTTATTTGGGTTCTAAGGTTTCCTTGGCTCAGGAAACGATCAATGTTTCGAACGGTTTTCGTCTCCAAGGCGAAAATCTAAGGACAACCTAGCGGCGGAAAGAATCATGCAAATAGTAGAACTACAAAATCTTATTATCTACTGATAAACACCGAGAAACAAAGGAGTCCTTTTCAAAATCGCTAAAACAAAAAGCCCATGGAAGGCATCGAAAAATGCGAGGGAGAGAGTCGATATAAATCTCTTTATAGGTGGTTGAGAATAGAGCAGGCTGTTCTATTCAGACGTAAGTCTGAAAGAGGAAAAACAAACCAACTGCTTGAATCATATTAGATCTCGTGATGAGGTCTAGAAACCATGAATTCTGCATTGCCTTGCTGCCACACAGTTTCCACTGGGCAATTCAGATTGGTATTAGAATTATTGAAAATATTAAAAAAAAGTTAAAAAAAAATCGGTAACCCTAAGATGGCGGAAGAACGCTAATGTAATCACTCCTGCGAGACGACTAAAATCGGTAACCCTACGATGGCGGAAGAACGCTAATGTAATCACTCCTGCGAGACGACTATGTTCCTCCCTGTTAGAACCATCTCTGCGAAAAAACCGAATTTACTTAGGTTCTGCAAGTTCGTAGCAGACAGATGGGGTTTCGACCGTTCCACATGAAACTGTGAGGAAGTCGGTATATCTTCTTGCGCGGAAAACGATTACTGAAAGAAGCGGCTGCTGTAAAGTTTTCCGACTTTAACATATATTTACTGATGCGTTCACAGTTGGGATGACCAGTGAAATGGTCAGAAAAATAGCCTCTAGAACAACGGACAAGATTTGATAACATGTAAGCGCATTAAAGTGAGAACCCTCCAAAGATAAGATAAACTGGTGTTTCCTATCATTTGAGGCTGAATGTACTTGTTTATTGTTATCACTCTAAATACTGGACTGCAAACTAACGCTTACAGTGGTTGAGTCTCGTCAACAGATTTAATTGCACATGTAAAACAACGTCTCCCAAAGCCGGACCATCACCTTCCACACATCTTTACCTTTGTAGTGGAAAACTTTGATATCTTTAAATCACTCGACTGGCATTTGTGACTCGTCTGAATGCAAGTGGTTTCGTTAAATCACCGACTCTGATGAGAAAAGCAACATATCTCTATCAGCGGATAGAGAACGAAATGAGGCAGACAGCTCAGGTAGTGACTGGACTCGGGGCTAGTAATGAGATTATGATATCTTGCCTTATTTGGCCAGTACAAACTGGACGTCATTAGTAGTGGTCGCAGTGATAATCAATGGCTCGCGGCCGACAGGTTGACTGCTCAGTCTGGTAGCCAGGAGATCGTGGGTTTGATACTCCGTACTGGGTTTTGTGAAATGTGCAACTGTGAGTGTTCCCAAAGAGGACGAACCAGCAGTACATTGCTTACCAGCTTTTTAGAGCATACCAGCTTCAATTTTTGGGTTAACCTCTGCTAAAATTTACTAGTTCTTCTCAAAATAGCACCAGATATTTGAATACCTGGAAGTGATGCTACGCACTGCTCCGGGTGACGAATTAGCCAGCTGATTTCACACATCGTAATCGTAATTATCAAGCTATGTGGTAAGCAACAAAACCAAACACAAGGAGAACAAGTCAAGCACACGAAACCTCAGTTGGTACTCGGAAGGTTCCGTGTCCCAGAAAAATAATCAGATAAAGACAAAGCAACAAAGCACCATNAAGTCACAATACAGTGATCTTGAATTAATGATTCATTAATTAAACCGTCCAAAAATCTTGATGTTGTCTGCTCCTGCATACAGTTAAAGAAGCCTCAAATAACCTAAGTTACCCTGTCATTTGTACGACCATCACTCTGTTGATGTGAAGAGTTATCACTTTTCCAAAACGGACTCAACACTTACATATAGATACACGTCAGGCAGATCAATGCCTGCCTGCGGAGGACTCAGTGTTGAACCCGTACTGAAATAGGACACAGAGTAAGGTAAACGACTATTTTCACTGTCCTTCAGATTACTCCAGCTTTTGGCCTCAGCAGAATGGGATTGTGGTAGCGGTCCGGTAAGTGTCGTGCCATAACTGCTAGATTGTTCAACCGACCTGACGGGCGTAAGTGTAGCTGCTGATCTGGGTGATCCATGCTGATTGTGAGTGAGACCCAAGTGAAGGTCGCGAACATGGCTACGTCGTTGATGACCTTTACGATGTGGCCGTTTTCGCGCACTAAACAAACACACTGTTGGTCTTCTGATCGCCTGTAGGTTCGGATAGAAAGACCCTGTTTTGCTGTTTGTCCGTTGATCTAATGCGGTACTGTGTTCACCATCCATTGTGGCGACGGTCACTGGCGGGATGCTCAAGGTAAGTATAGCTCGGTTCGATTCCGTAGATGCGGCGCTCGATGCACTTGTATTACGTAGACTTGTTTGAGTGTCGGAAAGTGCGCTGGGTGGGGACTCTTTTGTTTTCAGATTCTCAGCCGACTGCCATTGGAGCTCGGAGAAAGATCCACATGAAAATAATGGACGACGTTCGGCCTTATTAAGAGATAATATGGTGAAAGTAATGTCAAGTTTAGCGTTAGTGGTGCTCAAAATGGAGACAGAACGCAACACGTAGGTAAAATGAATACACCTCTTTCTTTTATGAGATCTTTCAACCCAATATAATGCAACAAAATACGTGTCTCACCCATTTGTGGCTCATAAATCAGATGACCCTGTGAGATTTTACCAACTCCCATAGAAGTACATGGGGTTAGGCAGCTTTTTTCCAAGTGGGCTGATATTTCGGTGTGATTAGAGTTCGACTTTATTGTTCTGTTTTTCTGTGGGTTCTTAGATTGAATTTTCTACTCAAAGACCATCCCACTTTTTAACAGGGAAGAGACTTTATTCAAATTTGTGTTCAATGACAGTGGCTGCTGTTCATCTTTAAAGAGTGAAATGTTTATGAAACGGTCGAACTTTCTATGATCCAAATTAACTAACCTCAGGGTGATATCGAAAGAAGCGATTTTTATCAGAGTAAGGTTGCTACGTTTGATAAGGACTCTTCTTCTGAGTAGCAAACACTTCCCTAGATTGATCACCAGAATAAACCTTTAGTGGCTACCAACACCACTACAGATATTACATTAAATTGGTAACCTGTACAAACAAGCAGGCAGATCACACATAAGTAAGTGCAAATTTACTCTAGACGGAATGAAAACATTTTCGAACTGGCTGCATCTAAGTGTCAGTTGTAATTTCGTCTTATAAATGAAACCAATATATTCAGGAAAACCAAGGAGCACCATGCACCTGTTTCAGCTTTGTTAGGAATCATCAAAAGTGAGCATCTTACAAAAATCCAGTTGAAAATATCGACCATGTGACCTCCAGGCTATTAGTTTAAGCACTTAGCATTTCAACCCCTTCCAAATTATTACTCATCTATAAGTAACTCAGACAAAAAATGAATTTACAAGGTGAGTGAAACTTCCATCTGCTCGGGGAGCCAGTCATGATTGAAAGATGCAGGCGCTACATCCTATCTGATTGCAACTTAATCACCCATTTGGTCAACTGACCGTGGTCAAACGGTTAAGTATTCAAACTACAAGCCCGGAGGTTGCGGTTTCAACACTTTGGCAGGAGTTTTGTGAGAAGTGCGCTGCCGGTGATTCCCATCAATTACGAAAAAGCTCCGTAGTGATGTTGGGATTTCACAGTAGACAGACAGTACAGAATAAATTTGTCTAAATCTCCTTTCACTACCAGCGGTTTCTACTGTCTGGTATTTGGTATGGAATAGTGGGCCGAGGGATTTAAACACGTGGCCTTTGTAAATGGTACATGCTAATTTTCTGATGTTAAAGCTGTGAGTTTTGATGTAGTCGGACAGCACTGGATTGGAATACGGCAAGCCTGGCGCAACTTATGGCATTTATTTCTTCAGAATGTCACGGATAGAATTTTGGTATACACAATTGTAAAATTCGTCCCACTAAGAACAAAAAAATTAACTAACGGATTTGGCGTGGAAGTAAGTGAAGCAAGGTGAATCGGAAGGCGAATTTTGCAGGTGACTCTTGAGTGGCACGCTCTTTTGACGGGATCATCTTTCGTAGCAACTGATTCCTAATATCCTGGTGCGTTTCTTCCACTAATGAACTAGTGGGCCGTTTCTAAGTTGTTCACACGGCTAGTTTTCCAAAGCCACTATTATCTTCAAACGAGGTAGTACTCCCTTCCCTTTGCTCTGTCACCTTAGCGGAGAATAGGAAGTTCCCAAACATTCCCCCCTCATTTCCCGTATAATCTAAGCACTGTACCTGCTCAGACCAGAAAGAAGTTCATAGTCGCATGAGGCAGTATGGATGAGACAAAAAACGGTCGCAGGAACTCTATAATTTCGTCTAGTGGGTGAGTTAGCTGAATTCTCTGGTCTTCGTTGGTGTTGGCCTCGAGGTCTATGTAGTCATCATCACCTTAGAATTTGTCTTTTGCAGTGCTGCAGTCCAAAAATGGGGTTTCAACTGACATATTTCTTACCAGAGGATGGTTGGCATTTTATCAGTATGGTGCAAGAGTATGCGATGTATGGCGTTTGTATAACGGAAGCAATGTCGGAATGGTTTGTAGATGAACTGCGTCCAAAGCACACGAATAGAAGTGACCGAAAAAAATTCTGTGTAAGTTTGTGTAAGTTTGACATCTTCAGCAAGGTAGAAAGTGGACCGGTAGCGATAAACACTAGTTTGCAGACTGATTTGATGTGGATGGGAAGTTCATCTAAAATTTACCTGAGTATCATTTCCATAATGATCTTCAGTTGAATGTAAGTAGTAAGTAACCGAGGGCAGTTTACATTAGCATTTGAAACTTTTGGTCAGGTAAACATATCCAGCCTCCTGACAAGGAGAAATAGACTTAGCTTCCTTAGCTATCATAAAACTGGCCACCGATTGGGCCATCGACATCAAAGGAACTTGGGCGCGGACGAATGCCAGCTGGAACTTTGTGGCCAGCAGACTTTGTAAATCATAACAAACTGCGATGGATTAACGGAGTTTTTTATCGGTCTTAGCTAACCAATGGCAGTCCAATTTTTGCCCCTTGAAAGGGAGACACGTATTAAACTTGGCGACCCTGGTCTGTAAGCGTAGAACGAGTCCGCGCGAAGATGACCAGCATCTTTTGGTCCCAAACAGAGGTAAACCACAGAATCACAGGCGTGTGCTTTCAACAAATGACTCAAGGTTGTCATGAAGATTTATGAAAGTGTTGGACGATCTTTATTCCCAGACCTTAATCACCTTGATAGTACGCAGCTGTATTGCTGTGACAAGTTGATGGTAAGGTTGTATGATCACATAGCTTTCCAAAAATTCAAATTTGTTCTCCAATGAGACTATCCCCCTGTGTACTTGAATCCAGTGCAATCGCGACTACTAATTCTTACGTAAGACCCAGGGTTCTGTGCCTTTTTGGCACCTACTATCGTTGTCAAAGCAATCTTCCCTCTAATTTAACGCTTCATTGTGGATGGAGCGTACACCGTGCCCTGGTCACTGAGTGTACCAAACTCACATTTGTTGAACCCACTTCGTCTGTTGCGGAGACACGTTCGGACTCCAGTGAGAGCAAGCGACTTCTTGGTCCTGTGTACAAAACACTTTGTGAGCTGAATGACGCATTGGACATGGTCAGTGAATCCGGCTTGGTGGAGCTTGTTTCAGCTGGAGATCGGGTTACACGGTTGCTCTGTGTTGAGTCTTTACGAGCTGGACTGTCCACCGGTGAGGGCTTGCGGAGTCCTCCAGTTAGCCGGTTGATTTCGCGCAAAGTCCTGCGACGAAAGACGATTGGAAGATAACACAGGAGACTTTAGGTCCATGAAAGACAACCAGATGCTAAGAAGTCATAAAGTAATCTGATCACAATGGAGTTTTATGTGAACGAGTTAAGCTTTAAGCTCCGGCATTTCCAAGCAAAAGGGGGTTCTGATTACGGTCTTGTGTTTTCCGGATGAAAACACCGAAAGGCGCTTTATGTCGGACCTCAAGGATCAAAAGGTTGCTATAGGTGCAAGTTTGTGATTTCCTACCTATGCCTGAGTATGAAGCGGGACTGTACTTTTAATACACGATTCGGGTCAAAATATTTATGAAGATACGCGGACTTGGTTCAAAAGGGTTCCTCCCCATGAGGAGGCTTGCTACCATCAAAGTTTTGCCCCCGCCAAACATTCTGCTAAAGAATAAGTTACCTCAGGCAAGTTCATCTTTCTTCTAGGGCTTGGTTGATGGGTAATTGGAGATTTCGTTCTTTAAATGAAACGAATATGTGATAAAAAGTATATGGATATTATATGACCATTTCATTTTTACTGGGAATAATTAGCAATACATATGACTGAAAACTGTGAACTTCAGTCCAGTATTTAACGGGTGTGCCATCACTCGAGAAAAAAAACCACATGAGGAATCACGTGACTGGACAGAAAGTGGTATTTTATCCTGTTTAGGTACTAGTAAACCAACTTCGTCATCAGTAACTTACGGCTGAAATACATCTAGTTGCTAGCTGGAATATCGCCAGTTCAAACTCCTAGAAGTTCATCAGAAGCTCATTTTTGATAACTTCTAGCAAGAATGAAGCATTGACTAAAGATAAACTCCTTTAACCCTATGAATATATTTTTTTTGCACTCATTGCCTTTACAGAACTGTCATGACAGTTCATTTTAAGACTATTTCCAGCAACTGCGGGGAAAGATTTGTTTTGAATTAATGAACATGACGGTTTTTGGGTGAGTGAACACGGAGAGATGGCGAAGCTGTCAGTCCGTTCAATCCCTTTGAGTTCTACGACAGCTTCCTGTTCTGTCCAGAAAAACGCATTTAAAAATTTTCAGTAATGCACGTGGGAACCAATTTATTCCAAATCCTGTTGCCTTTGTCAGTGACATAAGCAAACTGCCTTGAAAGTGTATTTCGCAAGTGACTATGACGAATTCTCTGTCTGACGTCACAAAGCTAAACATAGAGGGCCATCAAACTTCCGCAGTCAGTTCCCGTGACCAATATTTGAAATTCGAAATAGGGTGACGGGGAACTGTGAAAAATCATTTGTGAAACATAGTGATGGAGCTGTAGAAGAACAAAGATTTTTCGAATTTCCAAGACCGGACAATAGGAATATAGGGGTGGTGAAAGTCGGGAAAATTGATGATTGAACACAAATGACGGAACTACTAACTGGTGCAACGTCATCCAGTTGAACTTGTATACAAGGAAAGATGATGACGGATATTCTTTGGTGAACACACTGATGTGGAGTCTTAGACAATAATATTTCCTAACATCTTAGATGACCTGACCCCTTTCACCAATGATTCATTCCGACTGTTGGTACGTTTCTGTACACTTTTGAATCAAGCCAACCTAGACTGGAATATTCATAACCTTGTCCTTGCCTGCAGATCCCACGACTTTTATCCTAGCATCATTCGTCCTAGTTTTCCTTCCACATCTCCGTAGCTGAAATTCCATCAAGTCCAAGGAGATGCGGTGCTGCCAAGCTCTAATGATGCTGCAACTCGAGTTCACTGATTTCTCCATTCTGATGTGCACTCACCAGAATCATGACCCAGGGAGAGGATGAGGACTGTTCAAACGCAAGTGATCTGCTTGTAAATTCCCCAGGTCAAGCAAGCACACACAACTAATCAAAAGTTATTCCGCGGGTTTCAGATGTCCGTGGCATCATTTAACTGGGAATTTCTGCTAAATGAATCACTTGATTAGCACAGCTACTGGATCACTGAATCGTTGAATCGACAAATCACTCCACCGAAGCGTGAAAGAATTCGGCTGCTCAGAAGTGACCGTTCGTATAAATCGATTGGAAGTAGCACCATCGCAATGCAAGCCGAATATTCTGGTTTCACTTCCAAGCAAGACCAACAAAATGGGCTACTGGTGAGCCTTTAGCAGAGCGAAAGTCGACTGTAGAGTTCCGAAATTTCGCGTGACTAACACGACATCTGGTTGAAGAACAGACACAGAAATGTTTGAACCAGCGTGGGGACTTGAGAAATAACCATGCTGACGATAGAACACTTATTGCAGTGAGGACGTTTCACCAGGCTCAACTGGTACATGGCATTATTTGAGTGAAACAGAGAGCATCCATAGGACTAGAAGCCTATCAAAGCAGTGGTTTCGAGAAACACGTCGACTAAAAAAATGTCAGGAAATCTCTCAGTGTATTGTATTTGCAGCAGTGAACATAGGTTACAAGCAGTTAATACAGAATGAAGTAAACTTACGGATTACGTTTAGCCGAACCGGTTGGACTGCGTGTCAAACTGCTTGTCTCTGATTGAACCTTTCCCTGGCGTTTGTAGTACTCAAGGTAGCCGACCGCAAGGTGTGAACGAGGCGTATCAGTTTCAGTGAATTTCGATCTACAGGGAGCAGGACTGGAAGTAACATGTGCACTGGTATATTCGTGAGCTCTTTGGCGCTTTTGCTCCTCCACTTGGTCCGCATAGACCTGTGCCTTACGAAATGCATTCGAACGACTCCAGTGTGTTATTGTGGAGTCCAAAAGGGCTTGACCAACCGGCTCGCTCGACTGTAATGGCTCAGACCATGAAAATAAATTTGGAGACGGAATATTTGCAGTCCGAAGTTTTGTAATGGAAGCTCCATTACCATTATTTACACGCTTGTAATCATTATTTCTCGAGTTGGTTGTGTCACTGCAGTACCAAAACTTTTGTCCCTTGTTTCGTCGGTAGTTTCTTTGTCGACGTCGAATGCAACTTCTGAAAACAATCAATTGACATTAGGAATGCAAGATAAACTTGTATGTCAGTGAGGTTAAAGCGTCCGAATAACGTTTTAATAAACCAGCCAAACTGTGTTGAGATGTTTCACCGCTACAAGTTCATTTTTGTTTCCGAACTCCGAAATTATCGCAATGGGCGCTTAAGCATAGTGTTTTGCTTCTTTTGTACACTGGACGGCCTGGCTTGTCTGGAAATTGCGGCGAAGCAACCTGTATTGGCACTGAAAACAAACAGAACGATCTTTCCCTTTGTCCTAGGTTTTTGCGTATTTTGTTATAAATTTATTCACTTCTTTAGTCCTGTCCCAAAATAGATATTCCGGTTGATCCAGACCAGTTTTGGTGCATCGGATCCAATCTTCGATTGCTCGAAAACTTAGCAGCAGTGTATATTCATGACAGGGCTCTTAATGGAGACATCCGATAAAAGGATCAACCTGTTTCCAATACCCCACGGAAGCACATTGTACGCACACAAATTATCATTTTGACTGGATGTATTGGCTTCACGTTTGGACAGTGTGCATGATCGGCTGAAAGTCTCCAACGATCACATGCCTTGATTTCATCGATCGATTGCTCCAAGGTTTAGATCTTCCCGGTCTGCTTTTCCGCGGATGTTTTAAAACTGTGGATAGTCTTTCAAGCAAACAGACAGAACAGTCACATTGCTCGAGCGTGCGATTCCAAACATGATGGTTTGCGTGCACCAAGTTTGAATACGTGAACTAGTGGATGATCGCTCGCCTCGCATGTCCGATTTTCGGGATTACGGTCTCACTCCAGGTAAAAACATGCGGGGTTGATGGGATTCGATAAGTTCATTAGATGTGGACCACTCACAATAACCATGATAACAAAGGAGCACAAGTGAGGTGAACAAAATGTCATCAGACCGCCCACCTAATCATAAACGTACAAATACGAATCGCCGCTAATCGGCCCTTTATGCCATCGAAAGTACAGTGCCTTTTAAACATCAGAGTCCGTTTGGAAAATTCTAGTTTTAAATGAGCCAAAGTCAGGGTGTTAACATTCTTCAGCATGAAGATTTAGAGCATTGCCTAGAAACTGCTCTTGTAACCAGTGAATTGCGTAGGGGGACTGGCCACTCTTCAGTAAGCGGTTAATCGACAGTTCAAAACGGTTAGAAAAAAGAGCTGAACACGGGTGAAGTATGTACCGGTAAACGTATACCTGCAATAGGACGAGAGTGGTCAGTAATAAACTGAACGCACAGGGACCAATAAAGGTTGCAGGTTGTAAAATTAAGTGACCAAATAAAATATAATGTTCTGGCCTTCCAGTCAAGCACAACGTTATTGAGCTCATTGGGGAAGATTGAAATGACCTAGTTCAATACATGTCGACATTTAACAGTGAAACCAAGATAACAACCTCACCTCATTGACGGTGAATCACTCATCACTAAGGTACCGGTGGATATAGTACTGAGATTATCTACGACTAGCTTGCAAAAGGATTCGTCACTGAGATTTTGAACCAACGAACTGTTGAAGAATCTACCGCTTTGTGCGCAAGATAGGCTGTTTTTGTTCAACGGGGCATTCTGAAGGCAGATTGAGGGAGTTGCGATGCGGAACCAACCTGATCCGTCTTGACTGATGTAATTACGAGAAATTTAGCGGATAAATCAGTGGAAACTCGTGATGTGTGTTTACTTTTTTGACGAAGTCCCTCCCGTATGGGCAGCTGAGGTCGTAGATACGAAACGTACTTTAAAATAGCACCATATCTCCTGCTGCAGAACGGATCAGATAGGCGACATAAATAGCTAACATTTCTGAGGAATCTAAAGCCAGTATTCAAGTCTATCTGCATGATCAGGCGGCACACGTGTACATTTTATCGATAAGTATAGTTTGTGGGTGATTACTGTTATATTCGTTTACTGACAGTCTGACAGCTGACTTATTTTCCGAACGTCTTGTACCAGTCTCCATTGATCTCCGAGATGAACAGAATGATTATGATCCAGTTGGTTTTAAATTCACTCAGTACAGTAATTTCCCACTGAGAAAAGGCCTTAGTCTTTCCTGGGTGATGACGTTTCCTAGGCGTTGTTTCAGGTGAAGCTACATCGCTGACCCATACAAATGAATAGCTATTTGATAATTGATGGGTTAATTTATATCCTTTTTAACATTGGCCTTAACCTTCAGCCCTAACCTTGGTCCTTGCAACCTTGACCGAATTTCACCCATTCCCCTCAAAATTTTGATTTCACTTCCAGATTTTATCCTTGAACTGATAGCGTCCTCAGCCTCAGAATGCGTGTTTCGCTTGGTTTCGTCTCATTTTTTAAGAGACTACATAGAAATTTCGGTTGGTTCTTTCAGAAGCCATTTTAGTTCAAGCGAGATGGTTGTCAGCAATGATACTTGTATACCCGTATACAGATTCACTAGGACTTGTACGAATATCATATTATTATTCACGTTATCGGGAGAGCACATGATAGTGGCAGATTTTTCAACCTATATTTTAGTTGAGTCATTGGTGCCTGAGGCCCCGTAATAACAATGTGAAGCCAAAACTGATGTTCCTTGTAGCGGTGTCAAGTTAAGTTAAAGCTTCTTTCGAGTGGCAAAAAGTGCTTTTGCTATATAGTTTGTACCCTTTTTTGGCCGGTTTGACCAGGTTTCGAACTCTTCAGGCGGCCTCTGTGTGTTGGGCTATGCTTGAAAACTCTAACTGGTTGCATTAGTTACGAGGTTCGATAGTTAGTCAGGTTTATGGCTCTTTCCAGAGACATGGATGGATGGATTCCTCTGGGGGAAGGGGGAAGTCACGCACTCTTTGGGAAACTTACAGTTGGCTGTTTCTAAGGTTGGACTCTTAACAAAGCCAAGCACGAACCGGTATTTACCGGTTATCCTAGATCGCGGCTTTTGTTTGGAGATCTCCGTTTAGGATAGATTCATTTGACCTAATTTGTGCGACTAAACCCCGTCCAGTTCATTAGGAGTTGTTACGCTAGGCAGTTTGGGCCCTCAATAAAATGTGATTGAATATTTCTTTCAAATCAAGGAAAGCTTGCGGATCACAGAGAAGTTAGGCTCATCAAGCGTAAGAATTATCATTCCCACGCTTCTGATTTCAAACCAAAAAAAACGATGAGAAGTAAATTCGTCATGGGATCATAATTTACTCTAGTTCTTTCATTGGACTGCTACACCGGTCATTTTAGTTCGAATAATTTTGATTTTTTTGCTCGGATGAAATGTTTGCTCGCACCCCCAGCAGATGGTGTTCTGTGTGGAGGGTCGAAAAAACGACATGAAAGATATTCGCTCCAAATTCCATTGAGAGAAAGTGCAATCTGTTACTAGGGTAACGTTGATCATGTGGTGCATTTGTTTTGATGTGTTCCTTCGGTGCCGCCAAAATATGCTGCCAAATCGACGCTATTGGAATTCCGTAGCGGCGGCTTCGGCCGTTATTTGTTTATACCGCTGTTCACGATACGAGGGAAGCACAAATGTTTCGGAAGGCGTTTTTTATAGGCATGACCGCTTTTCACGTACGGAATATGGAACAGATGAATTAAGAGTGGCACCTTAATTTGAAATTTTAAAGCACTTCGGCAGTATAAATAAACTTGTGATGACAAAGTTTAACAGGTTGTCCTGATTCAGTAGGTTCTTTTCTACTCGGATGCAACTGTCTTGAGGCCCATACAGCCGCCTGGAGAACGATCCTATGTTGTAGAGAGGGATTCCTCGCTAGGGTAACGTACCACGCGGGAGAAACTGTTCCAAAGTAGTGAACTGATATTACAGTCCAAAAGTCACAGTTTAGTTGAAAAATATCCAGTGTTGTTTTTTGTCAACAAAGGTCTTCAACTATTTGAAAGTCCGCATAAACTTCGGATTAACGCTGCTGTACACCTTCTGTATGTACACTTGTATAGACGGCCATCAACCATTATATCTGTTTTCGGCAGCCCGGTTTGCTTATACAAGGTTTCTTGGCTTTCAAACGAACAGTACCATATTTTCGGTGCTATGAGTAAACTGATGACGACCACGACAGAGTCCTCTGCTCACTTTGTTGATCTCTTTTTCGCTCAGAGCATGTAAGTTCAGTTAGTTGTCGAGATTTTTCGGGATGTATCTTTCCAGAATCAAGTATCACTTCAGAAGCCTTTCACTCTGAGGATGGCCCTGAAGTGCTCTCAAATACATGCCCTGTCAGATGAAAACATCTGTTGCAGAAACACGTCAACCTGTAATATTGTTCAGCACGGTTTTGTGTTTTCTCTTCCAATTGCAGTGCGATACGGCAAAGCTGCGTATTCTGCTAATAAGTGTATGGTCTCCTCATGCGTCGTCTTTGGTACATGTTGTATTCACCGTCTCGGCTAGAAACTCATCTTTAACCCGCCATCAAACTAGTCCAAAGCTTGGGTTCACTCTACTGGATGGAACAACGGATGCATGGCCATTTTACTTTCATCCAGCAGAGTCAGCCCACTCATTTATTGTGGTGGAAGCTGACGGAACAAATCTACACAGCGATGGTTACAGTAAAATGGCATGTTAGTCAAGTCTTTGTTTGAAGTGTCAACTCTGCAACGACTTCTTCGTGCTGAATTCCTTCCATCACACAAAAAGGACATCGTACATTGGATAAATCGGAGCTGGTGTCTAAAATCTCACTGAATCCTGAGAGACCTTGCTTGAAAGAACCCTTGTCTACGCGTCATCGTCTTCTGTCCAACACAGTGTGACAACGGAAAGAACAGCGCGCTCTCATTATAGATACAACGAACAAACTTAAACAAATTACCGCAATAAAGCGATGGTTGATTACGGACGGTGGTTTATCAACTCACCTGCATCGGAGTAGTAGAACCAGTAGCAGGAGACCCGCGATTATACAGCAACAAATGATTATGGCTGTGCTTGGCACTGTAAACAGTAAAAAGGAAGAAACTGTGCAATGAGCTGTTTTGTGGAAGGTTTCAGCACAAATCCCACATCAAACCACCCCGGGGATAAGAGTGAGTAGTGAGTTCGAAAACAGTTTGTGTTGCTAGGCAACAGCTAATTATGCTATTACCATACACACCCAGCTGAACTCTTCGTGATGTTCTGTTGGACTAGACGAATTTAAAATACTGTCTGCATAATATTTATATCGGAGCCACTTTTAACATTTATCTTGATGAGCACTCCAGAAGTAAATACTTGCTGCTTAGCAACAGTTAGGTAAAAATAGTTAAACTCAATGTTCCTCAGTAATAAGCCGTAGTTTTTTCATAGAATCACATGGCACCTTTGGTTGTTTGCCTCCAGTAAGATGAGCACAGTTCATATGAGGACAAATGTTACCTTTGTTAACTGGATTAAAAATGGTTCTTTAATCTGGTTTGGACACCAATTATACCCAGCATTAATGTATTTCAAGGCAGTCAGTCAGTCCACTGCTTTCGCTTAATATTTCAGGTAAAAAGCATCGAGGTTGTATTCAAGTAACAAAGTTACCCATTAGCAAAATGCCAACAATGCAGAGGGTGAAGAAAGATGGCACTGCATGCTTTTCAGGAGAGAATGTGTGATGTGAATCCTTAGCCGCCTGTCCCGAAAGTCTCAAGCTCCTACGAGGCTGTTTGCAATTGAATGCTTCAAGATGCTTCGTGGTTTTGCTTAGGTTGGTGCTGGAAACAAAAGTGTAATCGGTTTAGCAAATTTCGGGATATAACAAACGGCCGTATGCATCCATAAACAATTTAATTATTTAGTTAAATTAATTAAATTAATTAATTATTATTAATTAATTGATAAATTAATAAATTTACTTGAATTAATTTAAGTCAAGATTGGTGATGGTGGTAGAGAATGTGCACTGCCTTCAGCTGAGTCTTCCTTACGGAAAACACCATCAGCTGTCAAGGAATCCTGATAAATTTATATCTTTAACTCAGTTGGTTTGATGTGAATGCCGGTACAGAAGGTGGGATAGCTTCGTTTTAGTCTTGTCAAGTAGTTGATGTTATTTTCGCATCCTATCAGAAGCATCTAGAACAGTTTGTTCGTTAACTTGATGGGATTCTACTAAAACGGTCGATTAGAATAAAGCATTGTATTAGCTATGTTTTCATGAGTCATCGTATGAAAGCTGCTTTTGACTACATTCAGGCACTGATTCAGTGGCGCTAAGGGCAGTATTAGCTTCCTAACCAATGGTTTTCGTAGGTAGATCCGTCACAGCCTGTATTAAGTCCAATGGACATCATGATATTCCTCGCTCATGTACCTCTCGTCCGCTTGATTTGTTCATCTGTACCTGCCATTCACATTGCCGCAAAGGTCACCCCGTCTAACACTGGTATATTAGCATATATATGGACTGCACTAGGAGGGGACGACCACAAACCTCACTACTGAGGCAACACCCCACTCACCTTTGTCTGATGTTCAGACCTTGACAATGCTCTGTGCAGTGACAGAATTGCGCACGTTGATGCAAACGTGGGCAATCGAGGTTCATTGCATAATTTTGCTCAGCTTTGTGCAGATAGTACCGCAGACTTCCGAGCCCGATTCTTCCGCCTGCTATACGGGAACATCAAACCTACGCATGACTCAGTTCGGTATTGGAAACCTCACTAGCTGGTACTCGCCCTAAATTCCATCCTTTTAACTCCGAGGGATCAGACCACTATCTCCTGGTGAGCAGCTCACTTGATGACTGGTCCATTTCTCGTAGTGAAAATATTTGACACCCGGCAATTCGCTCTACTTTTTGAAGCATTGTCTTTACTGGGATAGTCTGTAACCTAACCTCGCTAGGTCGCTTTTCAAAGGATTGGCGCCATCAATACAACCGTTCGTCAACATTGGATTACGAAAGGGAAAAATCTCCGCACATTGATTGTAAATGAAACATACCGGGGTCAAAAGCTGCTCGCCTGGGTGATTTTGTTTTTGATTGTGCTGCAGGTGGATAACATTGACACGGAAAACAAATGTAATCTTGTGGGTGTGCTAAGGCCACAGCATTCCAAGTTTTGGAGGTCCCATCTGGAGGAGTCGTACAAATACTAGGGATGTTCCAAGCTCAAACTACAGCTCAAGTAAACTCAGAGGACACAACCGAGTTGGTAGTTCATTCGAATTCATATCTGTTCCGTGCTTGAGGGGGTTGAGAATGAATTACTAATACTCTACCTAACCGAATAACATAAATAGACTACTTGACCTCAGTGTTTGGCTTTCGTTTACACTGTGTCATTTATCCTTTCATTACACGGTCATTTCTCAACTGCATAGTGAAATCTTTGCTAAGTTGCATTCTTTAAGGTGAACACTTCTATCTAAGCTTATCTGCGTTTGGCCACGAAGTTTTGCGTGTTTGTGAATAGTGCTCCAATTGGGGGACTTGCGGGGGCCGCCCATTTCTCAACTGCATAGTGAAATCCTTGCTAAGTTGCATTCTTTAAGGTGATCACATCTATCTAAGCTTATCTGCGTTTGGCCAATTGCTCCAATTGCTCCAATTGGGGGACTTGCGGGGGCCGCTTCACACAATTATGTTTCATTCACTTTCTTTTTCGTGCTCTACGATTTAGTTTAAACCAAATGACTTAGGTCGCCTGAGGAGAAACAGGGCAATATTGCGAGAATGCATAAGGCAAGCGAGGCTTCTGGACAGTCAGTTTAAGAGGCTTCAATTGAAGACGTTAAATTTAACAAATGATTAATCATTTCTCTGTAAATTTACTGGACCGATCGACCGATCAGTTGACTACGGAGTAAAGTTAGAAGGGACAAACAATATTCTGAGATAACAAGCAGGCTCTGCCTGAAAGTTTATTTGCAAAATTGCTAGCGATGCCTTCCTCCTACCGACTTTAACCATTTTTAGCCTCTCTAGTGGATACTGGTGAAGCAGTGTCGAAATTTCAGCAAAAGCTTATTAAGGTTATCGGAGACAGTAATGCGTCACCCGCAAATCCCGCAAGGACAGTTCTATTCGTTTGATTTCGAATCCCGGCATAATGGATTTACCCATTCATTATGGTTCCAGAATGTAGCTCGTTAAATCCACGTACATATTAGGGCCTATTCAATGTATCTGTCTCATTTTCTGGAGATTGAACTTACAGAATATCGTGAAAACCCGGTACCTGCTTCCAAGAGTTGACGGATTTCCAAGCAAGCTAGTTTAGTTGCGGGCGAATGTTGATGGATGATTAACACTACCCATTCATTATGGTTCCAGAATATAGCTCGTTAAATCCACGTATCATATTAGAGCCTATTCAATGTAGCTGTCTCACTTTCTGGAGATTGAACTTACAGAATATCGTGAAAACCCGGTACCTGCTTCCAAGAGTTGACGGATTTCCAAGCAAGCTAGTTTAGTTTCGGGCGAATGTTGATGGATGATTAACGATGATTCATAAACAGCCTGTGACCAGCTGTTTGCGGCGAGAGTCAGCTCAGGTCTAGAGGCGATTTGCAGATCATTTAGCAATTCTCCTGGAGAATTAAAGAAGTCATTGGCCAAGAAAGTCCACCAATCAAATCGTCGAATAGACGAGACGGGCTCCTATATCCTGACGCTTCATGAGTTCAGTGTTGATGAACGTGTGCAATGTCATTTCTTAAGTTTGACTCGTTTATTTACACCAACATGCGGTGTGTTGTGTACACATCTGCAAATGCAGTTCCGGCTAATTTCCCATGGATATAGAACTCAGGGACAGGCATGCTGCTATGCCTGAAAATGAAATGGAGATTGGATAAAAACGAAGTCCTTTGAAGGGTAACAGACCTTGGCCAATCTGGTATGCAAAACACTCGTCATGAAGCCGGATCAGGCTTACCTAAGCATCACCCTCAGAAATAAGTCACAAAAAAACTTTCGAGAAGAGATAATGCGGTGATAACAATGCATATGAGAGCTACGGATTCGCAAAAGAAGAGGTGACTAAACAGGCATACTAAGCCTGAGAAGTAACGGCATCGAACGTCTAACAAGGTTTTCGATAGGCGAACTGATCTGATATCAGGTAGCAGTGTGTTGATTCTTTCAAAGTTACGTTAGGAGGCAAAATGTTCGGTTGTTGGAAATAGACCTCGGCTGAGTTTGGGCTGATGGTCGAACCTTGTCTGACCCTAATCAGATTTGTGTAAGTTTCATCCACTTGTATTCGGGTTGTAGTCAGACTCATCCACACCCAGGATCAATAAACAAAGCTATGAACTACACGAAGCCAGAAACCCTACGTCTGAAAAATGTACGACAGTCTGCACTGTGAATTTTCGAAATAAGCGCACAAAAATAGCGACAGAAACTCATATATTTTTGAAACTGTGAACTGGTGACACAAGAGATTGTGTATAACAGATCTCTGCTGCAACATAAAAAAGACAACAGTATTTTACCCTTGTAAAGTCTTAGTAAAGTAGATGTTTCCCCTGTCACGTAACCCAACGATATGTTCCCATTCATTTATTCAAACATTCGTCTGACTTTAAGGTCTTAACGCTTTAATTATAGTTGTCTATGTCCTGGATACAGAGAATGTAATTTTTCACGTTTTGTTTTCGTTACACAGAACAGAAAATAAATCAAAATATTTGCAGCTGGATGGGGGGTAAACAGATTGTTCAACAACCGACATATGGTCTCGTTACTTGATTTGGGGACGCAATCAAACACGCAACGGTTAATATTCTCAGGAATAACTGAGGATAACAAGATAAAATAAACAATGTGAGCATTGGACCTTATCCTGTGATCCGATCCAACCCAACTATCTCTCCTTGTGAGAGACACATGTTTATTCACAAAAGAAAACAAAATGTATGGTAAATATCTATACATTGTTTATCTTGTGCGGGACAATAAAAGGTTATCTATCCGAAAAGAAGCAGAACAAAAAGGACAGGTGGCTACCCCGATTACGATTTGGTTTGTAAACAGTAGCTCAGCGCAGATCAGATCAAGCTTGATCCGGACAGAACAGCGTAGCAAAACAACACCAAATCGTCTTATTGCCATAGATTTTTTCCATCAGTGACAATAAAGGCAACAAAAGATGGATTCCTGATCGTCTTATTGCCATAGACTTTTTTCCATGAGCGACAATAAAGGCAACAAAAGATGGATTCCTGTGGAAAGGCACAGATGGCAAAAGACAATCGGGAACTTTGTTGGGGATCTAATCGAGCGGAGGACCGCACGATCAGGCAGCACTTAATGTCAAACCTCGGCCAAATTCCATTAGCTAGACCTGGCGTGACGTTCTATAAACAGCCTGTTACCATGAGGTAGGTTTTTCCAAAGATAATAGAAGAAGTGAACCGCATGTTTGGGAAGGTGTACCAGACGGGTTGTTTCTAGTGCAATAGCAACTGTAACACCACCAATTTAACGGGGTATTTCGCAGGTTAAATGTGCCAATAGATCCATACATAAAGCACGAACCGAGAGTGCTTTTGTTCCACTGTTTCCTCCGTATAACAATTACAGTGACCGCCCGGAAAAGTGTTCCCGCTGAACTGGCAAAAGTGCGCTCTTTCGATGACAATCCATTTTGGAGAGCGCAGGATTTGGACAGAAAGGTTTTAGCGCTTTCCTGTACGGACGAGTTCAATATTAACTGGCATGAGGACAGACATATTATGGAGTAACTTATTAGAAATAAAACCGAAGGTTTTCACCTCACAGAACACATATCGACCAACTTCTTAGTTTCTTTGCCGTCCGTAGCTTTGCAGCGTGGACCTGACTTTGGGTGCGGAAGGTTACACATTCAAGTGCAATGAAAGCTTGAAGAACACTCTTGTTTAGGCCTGCTTGGGGCCTCTGAAACATAATTGAGCACAACGGCAAGTATAACACCATTCGCTTCAGGTTTTCGAGAAGTGAGCACACAGTGATCGCAGTGCTTCATCGCATCATTGCTTCTATTAGTTTGGTTTACCTGTCCAAACCTACCTGGGTGGCCTCACTCGAATTTATGAGCACTTGAGCTGCGCACAAAGTATGCCTTTCAATCTAAGTCGTTTTGACAGACTACCTGTGTTGCGAGGCCATCGTTAGCATGCAATGTGGATAAACGTGAAACCGACCCAGTCTTTGCTTTTCATGGACACAATCTTTGGGAACAGTCTGTTGAGGGAACATCGGGTTACGTGCTAACTTCACTGGAATGGACAGTACCTCAGTGGCCGACCAATGAGTCAACATGAACCTTGGCACTAGGACGTCTCTAGGTCATATGAATGGTTCTGATTAGCAAACACCAGATCAGTGTCACCGGAGTTCTCATTTGCACCAACCCGATAATCGAAACCGTCGCTTCTTCTTGAAATATATCCGTTTTCTTGAACGTGGCAGCTCCGTTGGATCTAGTGTACGCTTCAATGACACACCTGCTCAAATGTAGGTTGTCCGGCGTTCCAACATCGACATCGCCGCTGAGGTTCCTTTTTAGCTCGAGATGGGTAATAAATTGTGTTGCAGATGCGGAGAGGTGAATTTTAACTATACAAACTCGAGTGGGATAGGGAAATGTAAGCATTATACAGCTCATGAGGAAGGAAGTGGATCAAATATTTTAATATCCTTCACTTAGTTTTTATGAGTTGACATCATAGCGACCCATATGGAAAATTACGGTGCATCATACTTCCCTAGGTGGAGGATGAAAGTGACCTGCCAGCTCTGAGAGGTGAAAGCAGACTGAATTAAAACTGGCTGCCGATCGTTCGACAATACTATCTTGGTAAATTGATTGCGAGCTTAAGCGTGCTCGCTCCGCCTAAAAGGTGACTAGAACAATCTTGGGGACTGATTCAACCAACCTTCCTTTTGGCTAGTATCCTGTCCAGGATTTCAGGGAATGCGACAAGAAAATTCCAGATGTAAAAGCAGAGCACCATGCACTAACGAAATAGTGGGTGGGTTTTGAGGGGGTAAATAGGATTTTCAGCCTAAAAACACATGGAAAAGTCATCGGAATTTGTCGGAACGATTCATATTTGATGTGATCGGTTCGAGCTTTTGTTTAGAATGAACTAAAGGTAATTCGAAACACTGGGTATCCGGGAAAATATTTTCATCCCTACGCAGTGAGGAGCTGTGGATTACGTTTGTATAAAGAGGAAACGACATATTGTCATTTTTGAATAATGAGAGTGGAAGGCTTCTCTTGAAACCACATCAAGTGTTCGGTAGATCTTGTTTGCCCTTCTGAATTGCAATAGTCACACCCAGTCGCAGTATTATCACTGTGCTTACAGCGGTAGAAAGAATTAGGGACAGATAGGCAATCGAATACACGGCACGAAACGCCAAAAAAGAGTACCACCTTGCAAAATGCAGGCGTATTGACCGTTATAGGAAATGACAGCTTTCTAGGCATGTGAATTGAGTTTATCTAGCAGGCCATTGCCTCTTCCATGGGTGGATTAGAATTTGCAAAATCATGCTTCATATTTCTATGAGGGAATTCGTGCACCTTAGGAAAAAAGAAATATTCAGCGTTGATCTTTTCTTCATACGCAAAAAACATGGGAGAGTGATCAGCGTTAACAAATATGTGTACCTCCTTAGAACATCCAGGTAGATTTCGAATACTATAGATAATCGGTCTACATCAAACATGAGAGTTGCATAGTCTATCCCCCATCGTCGGGTAGTTGTCTTCTAAAAAGTAGCTGACTGAGCAGCCCTGAAACGTGCTCGCTAAGGTTTTCCGTTCACGATGTTAGCAATAGCGATGACGCAAGGTCACTATCGTTTAGCTGTAACATCATTTTGGTTCCTAGCTACCGTGCCACCCGAAGGAACCACATGGACTGCGACAGAGTCAGGTTTAGCAAGCCTAGACAGAGTAGTCAGGATTCACAGATTGGGTTGAAAGCACGGACCTTCGGTCCAGTAAGTCCCCCCCCTAATAAGTGAGCCATCTCGAGCACTTCGTGATCATAAGTTTTGTTTGTTTTAAATTTGAAGTGCACATTACTTAAGCGCCATGGTCATCGGTCTGTTAGATGAGCAGCACAAACTGCAGTCGCTTCATTGCCAGTCCGGGTGGCGTCGTCAGCGCTTCCTTGCGTAGCGAAGCTTGATGTTTTGCTTGCTTATGCAATTTTGGGCTAATGGAAATACATACTGCCTGAATTGTCTTCGTGGTACCGATGATGGTGCCTTCAAAATTTACCACTGGATTTTCTCTGTTTTTCAATTCGAATGACCGATTGTAACATCTTAATATCTGTCAGTTGTTTCAGTCGGGACAGCCTGTCTTGCACCTTAACGTGCACTTTCATAAAAAAGACCAGGCCGTTTTTTCCATGCCACACAAAACTTAGGTGCACTAATTGTCGACTATGAACAATAATTTCGTGTCACAAATAAAAATTGAAGTGAAAAACGGGGCTATTAGTACCTGAATATTGATGCATATGGTGTCCCAGGTAAAGCGTTTACGGTTGGCTATGGACAAAGCATTGATTCTCGCTGACTTCCTTGTTTTGTTGAACTCGCAGGGATTGTCGGTCTTCCAACTGTGCTTTTTTTATCTGTGTTCACATCTGAACCAGTTTTTTTCTTGACTTACACACCACCTGTTATTTGGAAGAACAAGAAACCTTGCACCTCGTCAAATTAAGAGCCATTTTACCGTTTTTGCTTTGCAGTGATTTGGATCATTTCTTCAAGAAGAGGGAAACCGTACGTGAGCTGTGGAAGAGTTTTCAGCAACC